TTTGTTACCAAAAGTTAACACTATCCAATGATAAAAATTAGACAATCCAACTTGGAATATATTATATTTGTTATCAAAAGTTAACATTATCCAGTGATAAAAATTGGACAATCAATGTATGAATTGCATCTTACCCAACCAACTACAAATATGTTCCAGTTGTTATCAAAATTAAAACACTAATATCGGATAATGTATCTCGTCGATCAAACACCAGAAACAGTAGGATCGAATTGGACAGATTTGTAGGTCGAAAATGGACCCGAGAAATAGTAGGACCGTAACAACCACTGCCACACCCCTATTACTTAATGCATAAAATATTCTATAATAGACAACCCTATAGACAAATTAGGTGGACATTTGTTGTATATGAAATTGTGCAGAGTTAAATACGGTAAGAGCATAACCTTATATGTGCAAAATTTAAGTCTATAATATGAGCGTATTAAAAAGTCATAGCAACAAGTAAGCAATACAAGACTACACCAAGTTTGGCTTGCATGGCATATATGCCACTAAGCAACTACAAAATGCAGCAACATCTATATGTGAATTGATGGCTTAAATGTTGGGGAATGCAGATACAAAATACAAAAGATATGTTCCATGGCACTTGTGCCTTCCAAAAGTTCAAAAGTGCAGTTACACAGGAGCTAGTCCATTTTTGGGCGACTTTTCTTCGTCGGGCTTGCAGTACACATTGTATGGGGTTCAAGTGTTTGTTGGCCGGATGATTCGGGAATTTGAGCGCATGTGGTGCTATTTCTTGAGGTGAACGATTACTGATTATCAATGTTGATGCGTTTTTTGACCGATGACTCAGAAGACGTCATTGCTGTAGTTTTTTCAGGTGGTGGGGTGAGGGAGTCGAGAACATTTTTTAGTGTTGGGTTGAAGAGCTCTTTTCTTGTTACATGTTCTGTGATAGTAGATTAGGTGAATGAATCTATTTGCTGAATAATAAATTTGAGGATTTTTTTATGTGTATTATTCGACACTGTACCTTGTTTGAAGTCGAGGCTGATGCTTCGTTTGCTAAGTCTTTAGGCTGATGAAGCATTGATGAAGCATACGACACGACGTTCGTGCATTGCTACTGTAATCTGAGCAGTTAAATCCACACCATGTGTACAAAAGAAATAAAATGCATTTTATAATAGCTAAATAAAGGAAAGAGAAGAAGGTGAAAGCCAAAAACCAATAATATGTTTTTGTGGTAAATAATAAATAGCTATTTATTGATCTTAAATATTTAATTGATTTAGAAAATGTTTTTTGTGGTAAAAAAAAATAAATATATTATGATTAAAAAAGTAGAGATCATAAAAGATAGTATAGAATGTAAGCAGATAAGTTGAGTAGAGGAAATATTGCAGCCATAAGTGCTTAATAGGATAATTAATGTAATTAATTTTTAGCATGTACAATTTAATTATTTATATGGCAAAATTATCTGTATTATTTTTGGTATAGTAGGTTTGACTACATGACACTCAAAATATGATAATTGTACAAAATTGGACCCAATATTCATTAGATTACATATCCTCAGCAGACCCATTTCCATAAAAATTTCATAAAGTAAACTTATTATATTTTTCCTTTATAAGTTCTTGTTCTTTGAGCCACGAAATAGCTATAAAAGTCTAAAATATCCTCCCTATATATAATTTCAGAATGCGCTGAGCCTACGTGGCTGCTTCTGGTGCTTTGGAATCCTATTTGGCGAAGAATCATGCTTTGTAATTAGGCTTGGATGAATAATATTGATATATTAATAATTAATCATCTAGGTTCGGGTATTCCATAAATATTATTTAGCTAACTTAGGTATTTTAATATCACTTTTACTAATATAACCCTTTAATTTTTTTGTAATTTTACATAGTGGGGCAATAAGTGACTAATATATCCCTGAATTTTGATTTGTTTCCTTCAATAGGCTATTGAATTATAAATGTATTTTAAAAGTTGATAACTTTTGTATTTCTTATCGGTTTTACATATATAATATATCAAATTAATCATCTTTTGATGATCTTCTATTTGACATCCATATTGTATATATGAAATAAATAAATTATATTTATCTTTATAATAATAAAAAATAATAATATTTATTAAATTCATTAGAAAAATAAAATTATTTCTCAATTGATATATTTATATGTAATGTAGTTATATATTGTAAGTTAAAAAAACTTAGTATAATATAACACAAGTAAGTCGCACAAATAAAAAGTGTCACAATAAATATATAATAATATATATATTCTTATAAAAGGTATTTAAATTTTCAAACTACTTTTTTCTTATTAATTTTAGATTTTAAGAAAAAAATTAGCAAGCACCCGTGTAATACACGGGTGTTGTACTAGTATGTATTATTATATTTCCCAAACGATAGACAAAAGTCAAACTATGTGGAAGGGATGTTTCTGAAGAAAATGTCAATCCACAATTCACTCCTATTTGTTCACATACTTTTGGTGGTTCACTCATAATTTTTCTAAAATATTATTATTTTCATGTATTTTTATTTTTAATTATTTGCCTTTTATTCATTTTAATAGTATTTGAGTGAAGTTTTTTATTTTAATCTTGTTTGTAGCAATATTGGGTGTGGATGTAGTAAGAAAAGTACCACATGGCCTTTTTCTATTGCTGTTTGCAAAAAATAGGTGCCACCCACGCGGGTGGCATCGACTAAATGATATTCACCATGCCCATGTGGATTGACCATTTAGTCGATGCCACCCGCGTGGGTGGCACCCATTTTTTGCAAACACCAATAGAAAAAGGTCATGTGGTACTTTTCTTACTACATCCACACCCAATATTGCTACAAACAAGATTAAAAAATATTTTTGACCATAAATTTAAGTTTGTGGTTAATTACACAGATGAAGATAAGCAGACAAACATTTATCCAGTTAATGGTTCATATCTTGGACCAAAAGCAATCGCTCTACCAGCTGCTTCCATTGAAAGTGTACGTGATGTTCCAATCAGGATTACTAAGTTGTATTTATTTCAGAGATGCAAATATGTTCCAGTACTTCCCAATCAACATCAAGAAAACAGTTTCCCAATACGGTAAGCACGTACTCG